AATCAAACCCTCCAATAAGAGCAGGAAACAAAGAAAGGGCCTTCCTAGCCACCCTATGGGCTACCCTATTGTTATCCTTGCCTACAAATCGGAGAACCTCCCCAGCTACACTAAACAGCAGCTCATGAACCTCCTGTAGCACCGCGCCCCCTTGACAATCCCAAAGGCACCTGGCTAAAACCTTATCTATGACGACCTTCGCATCCCCTTGATAGCAAACCCCTGTCAGCCCCATCGATCTACACCACCAAATCGCTTCCCGAAGCGCCACCAGCATCGGGTCAGTAAGCCCTCAAACCCCCTCCCAGCAGCCCCAAGCACCACCCCATCCGGCCCCTGTAGGACAAACCCCACCGCTGAATGTGACACCCCACGTACCGCACCATCAAAGGAGCATACCCAAGACACACCCTGCGGCACCGGAACCAGTGACACCGGCACAGCCTGACGCCCAACCAGTTGCTGGTCCACCACTGGACCCCTCACATCCCGCCATTCCGCAACCTGGGTCAACCACTGGTTCCGCAGAACCTCCTTGGTGAATTGACAACCATCAAACACAACCCAATTGCGGGACTTCCACGCCCTCCACAAAACGGAGATGAAACACATCAGAACCCACCCCCCATCTGCTACCTTCTCCACCAAACGGCGAACAAAAAGGCCAACGTTCTCCTGTGGCAGCCCTTCCCTTACCATTTCCAATCCCGCCACTGCCCACAAATCCTTCACCACCGGGCACTCAAAAAATATATGCTCCAGAGACTCAATATCATACCAACAAACCGGACACCGCTCCAGAACTGGGATATCACGAGCCAGGAAAGCCTCCGTAGTGGGCAAAATCCTGCTCATCACTTGCCAAAGGAATAACTTAAGTTTCGGCGGGATACTAAGGCTCCACAGCTTTTTCCACAACCCCGGATCCATCCAGGAAGCCTCACACTTTGCTAGCCACCTGCTCCTATTCATCCTCACCGCCAAGTAATAACCAGACTTCACCGTATACTTACCAGATCGATCCTCATGCCAGACCAGTTTGTCGCGGATTGGCATTCTCGGTAAAACAATTGCTTTTATTTTCCTCGCCACCTCAGGGGAAAAACAGTTCGCCAAACAATCATCACACCACGTCCCCGGCTCTTCACCCAGCAACCCCGCCACCGTCGCGCCCTCCCAAAGGTTGGCCGACTCCTTCACCACAGGAGGGTTAGGATGACACCCCGGCACCCAGTTATCAGTCGCAATCTCCACCTCCTCCCCCGAACCAACCTGCCAACGCAACCCTGCTTTCAGCAGCTTGACACCATACAAGACACTCTGCCACCCCCAAGACGGCCTGGACCGAGCTGTGGCTACCAGCAAGCTGCCATTGGGGAAATACTTCCCTTTATAAATTCGCGCCAGCAACGAATCAGGGTTATGCAAGATACGCCATCCAACCTTCACAAGAAGAGCTTGGTTGAACTGCTCAAATCGTCGAAATCCCAAACCCCCCTCGTGCTTACTACGGCAGAGTTTCCGCCACGACATCCAGTGGATCCTATCCATCGAATCCCCCCACCAAAAACGGGCCATATACTTATCAAGGCGACGGCAGAACGCAACAGGGAGCTTGAAACAAGCCATGACATAAACCGGCAAAGCCGCCGCCACTGATTTTAGCAAGGTCTCCTTGGCAGCCCAAGACAAGTGCTTCTGTTTCCATCCTTGGAGCTTTTGTAACAGACGCTCCTCCAGAAACCGAAAAGTATCAGATTTCGACCGAGCAATTAGGGTGGGAATCCCAAGATACTTATCTTGGACCCCTACCGCGCCAACCCCTAATCATGACGCCATGGTCGTACAATCCTCCTCTAGGATATTGCGACTAAAGCAAACCGCAGATTTGTTCAAGTTAACCCGCTGGCCACTTAGTTCCTCATATTCCCCCAAAACCTGAAGCAAGTGCTCACACTGCTGCACCGATGCTTTCACAAACATATATGAGTCATCCGCAAACAATAAGTGAGACACTATCGGCGCACGCGGGCTAACACGAACCCCAGTTAACCTTCCTTCCGCCTCCGCCTTCTTAATCAACGCAGTCAGACCCTCCGTACACAGCGCAAACAACAAGGGAGACAAAGGGTCGCCCTGTCGAAGCCCTCGGGACAGCCGGAAATACCCAGCTGGCATCCCATTCATCATGACAGAGAAAGAAGAGGATGAAATACACTCCTGGATCCAACGGATCCATTGCTCACCAAAACCAAGCTTCTTCAAGAGCGAAAGCAAAAAAGGCCACTCGACCCTATCATAGGCCTTCTCCATATCAACCTTTAGGGCCATGTAACCAGTTTTTCCTTTCGTCTTAATCTTAAGATGGTGCATGATCTCATTCCCAATCAACACATTATCAACAATTTGTCTCTCCTTGATAAAAGCGTTTTGCTCAGGAGAGACAACCGTTGGTAATACCACTGCCAGTCTATTTGCTAAAATCTTATCAATTATCTTATAGACAACTTAGCATAAGCTGATAGGCCTCAATTGGCGCATAGTCTCCACTTCCTCCACTTTTGGGATTAGCGTAAGCCACGTGTGATTAAAACTACGGAGGAGTTTTCCATTAACGAAAAAAGTTCCCACCGCCTCCACCACTAATGGCCCCACAATGTCCCAAAAAGTCCGGAAGAATTTTGTCGTGAACCCATCAGATCCCAGTGCCTGCGTAGGACCAATTGAGAACACCGTCCGGCGAATCTCATCCGACGAAACTGCAGCAACCAGAGCTTGGTACATCTCGGCCGTAACCATACGCTCAAGAGGTAGCGCATTCACTCTACCATCCATATTCTCCACCTGGTTTTCTGAGGTAAAAAGATGCTCGAAAAAATCCACTGCCAGTTTAGACTTATCTGCCTCGTCCTCCACCCAGTCACCATCCTAGTTTCGCAACTTTGCAATAAAATTCCTCTTACGCCTAGCACGTGTAACCATGTGAAAGTAAGAGGAATTTCTATCGCCCTCCTTTAGCCATCGAACTCGGGATTTTTGTTTCCAAAAGACCTCCTCCGCACTCTATTTCCGACCCAATTCCAGCTCCAACTCCTTGATCCTATCCCAATCCACCGGATTTGCGCTCCGCACCGCCTTAACCTCCTCTTGCAACGCTCGAATATTCCGAGCCGAATTAGAATCACCTGCACGCGCCCAATCATAAATCATATGGCGGACCTTTTTGAGTTTCGTCCACAGCCGAAACATTGAGGAGCCAGTCTCCTCCTCATCCCACATATACTTGACCATTAAGCGAACCTTGGGGTTATCCACCCAGCGGGCATCGAATCGGAACAAGCGTCGGGCCGTTCTCTTAAATGGTTTATCCGCCAGGATAAGAGCACGATGGTCTGAACCCATATCCGTACAATGAAGGACAATCGTGTCAGGGAACGACTCTGTCCAGGAAGCAGACCCTAGTACGCGGTCAAGACGTTTTTGAATACAGGCAGTCCCCATCCTCTTATTTTTCAAGTGAAGAGAGGGCCCTGAAAGCCAAGGTCTATCAACGCCAGCGAATCAACAAAACCCCGGAAATCCTGAGATTGGACAGGGGCCCACGGCACCCCACCTTCTTTTTCATTTGACGAAAGGATCGAGTTAAAATCACCCATAACGACAAAAGGTTCCGAAATCCCCTGGCAGAACGCACGCAGGACCTCTAGCTGGCCCCTTTGCACCGCCTCGAGACAACTCACGTACACACACACCACCACATAAGGAATCTCAAAATTATTAATCCGAACAGCGATAAAAAAAGACGAACTACAAATAACCGAGGCACAAGTGCTCGAGGACCAACCTATCGCTAAGCCACCAGACATATCGATGGCATCAACAAGAAAACGACAATCAGACTCCAAACCTAACCCCCGCATACGACGGGAAACAACCTTTCTACGAGATCTAGTTTCCGACAAGAAGACCAGATCCGGATTATTCATTCTAACCAACCCTAACAGCGATTGGAACGTGAGGGACGGCCCAATCCCTCTCACGTTCCATGACAAAAGTCTCATTTATCAAATTGGGGCCATTTCGGGCTGGCTACCTCCACCATGTCTTTAGGCTTCTCGCCTGAATCTTTAGCACACATCTTCTTTGTCGACGTCGGATCCTGCGCAAGATCCTCCACCATATCCCCCCGTTCGCTTACGAACTTCAAGTTCCTCCTCCTCGACTGCCATTTTGAACACCTCCGAAAGCCTAGGCAAGTTGGACTCATACTCGTCAGCCACCGCCACGGGCACATCCTTTGTCTCGGCCACCGCCACGGACCCCTCCTTTGTCTCGGCCCCCACTTCCATCATCTTCTCCCCCACCGTGATCTTCCCTTCAACTCCAACAATCTCGACACCCCCCGCCTCCAGAGACTGTCCATCCTTCTTGTTCACCATTTCGGTGGCGCTCTTCACCTCAGCATTCGGCCGTTCCATCCCCTTCTCAAGCTCCACTTGAGCATTCCTAGGCTGCTTTCCAGCCCCTTCTCCAGCCTCCAAAGCATGCCCCCACCAGCGCCCCATCCTCCCTCCTAGTCTTCCCTTTCCCAGCACTCCGTGTACCATCCCCCTTCTCAACCATCACTACATCTCCACGTCCCCCCTCAGCAGGCCCCTGCTTACCACGAGGGCCAGCGGCCACCATCTTCACCGACCTTCTGCCCTTCGCCTGGCTCCCGCCAACCTCCCCTTTGCGGCCACCCTTCGGCGTGGCTCCTAGCCTTGCTTGCCTTCAGTCTCCCGCCACCAGAACCCTGAGAACCTTGAGACCCTTTCTGGAAGCGGCCACCAGGCGCGGGGACAGCCAAAACTGTCTCACGGGACAGCCCCATCTCATCAGGCTTCACCTTCACACCACGGGAAGAGGGTGTCGCAGTTGCCTGTCCTTTGATTTTGGGGTTTACCCAGACCGATTGCGGCAAGGGAGGCGGCAAAAACTGGGCGGCTTTCAGCGTCTCCTCATTGAGGCGAAATCGACTTCTGTTGTTGCCATTTCCTGGCCGTATCGCTCATCGCCAATTGGGTCAGGATATACACAATTTCGCTCCATGTGCCCCAACCGCCCGCAATGGAAGCAGAACAAAGGGAGGAACTCATAAGAAAACGAAACCCAGAATTTCCCAGCAACATCATTGCTCGCCCAGATTTGAGATCGCAGCGGCTCCAAGACATTAATCTTAACACGAGCTTTAACAAACTGGTCCGCCTCACCTTTGATCCCGAATAGCCCAACATCAAGAATCTCCCCAAGCTTTGTTTCCGCAACTCTTCTTCCAAACGCAATCGTGCGGCAATGGGATGGGATTCCCCACATTTGAACCCAGAACGAAGCAAAAGCTAAGGAAGTAAACACCTCCTCCGTGACTGGTGCCCACGGCTGCAGCTGCAAAACCCTGTCTTTGACCGCCAAGGTGTGCGTTTCAGCACCCAATCCATGTCGTCGGAATCATCAAACAGGAATTGAAGGAGGCCCATCTCCGCCTCTAGCACCTTCTTGCGGCATTCCCTAGCTTTTGTCACGATTTTTTGTGCGAGATTAACAATTCGACATATAATAAAAGTACAATATATGATACAATCATATGGAGGATGACTGATAAGCTTGGCCGGTTCTCGATGAAGAGTCGTCCCAACAAGCTCATCTTAGCCCTTTGCATGCTAACAGCGACATCATCAGTGGAGAACTCCACAATCTGGTCCATGCAAATATTCGATCCCGCCATTGATACTTGCTCCAACTCATCGTTACTTTGTTTCAACGACCAAGCACTACCACCGGGTAATTCTAACCGAGAAAAGGCATGGTAATCCTTTATTCTTTGTAAACAAGAAACCAACCAGCTCTTAAACTGTTTTTGGATGAGTAGGGTAGTGCAGAACTCGATTAGGTTTAAATAACCACCAAGAGTCGTATCCCACGCGGGAGATGTCGGTTGATCTTGGAGAATAACCCCAGGGTTTATCCCAAAAACAGAAGGATCTTGAGATCGAATCTGATCTCCATCCCAACCACCCGTATATTTACGGTTCAAATATATCTCTTTCCTTATTTTAAAATTGATATTATCAATAATATTAATATCACTCTCCAAACGGTTGCTGCGTATTTTCCCCCAACCACTCCACGTCAGCTCCAGGGGGTGAGCCACACCATCGATCGACGGCGGTTCCAGCTTATCGATCCGGCTCCATACCCCATCTTGGTGTATGGTCGAATGCCGACCTTCACCTGAACTCCTTTCCTTAGCAATCGATTCCATCCCATGAGGGGTCCAATCACTCCTCCAATCTTCTTCGTTCTGTTTTGTACCGCAGAACACAACCATGGGCATCACACCACCTCGCGCGTCTTCCAGCCAACGTTTCTTCGCCGCCGTGCGCGTCATAGGGCTCGCACCAAACCAACTCCCAGACCACGCATTGATCATCCCTTCTCGAACACATCTCAGCCAATGCACCAGCATTGCTAGACTTTCCATGGGCATCACACCACCCCGCGCGTCTTCCAGCCAACGTTTCTTCGCCGCCGTGCGCGTCATAGGGCTCGCCACAAACCAAATCCCAGACCACGCCTTAATAATCCCTTCTCGAACACATCTCAGCCAATACACCAGCATTGCTAGAATTTCCATGTCTTCATCCTTCGAGAGCCAAATGGAGAAGAAGAGGAAGCAAGCTCCGGCCATCTCACGGTTTTTCGTAGGAGAGAGGACAGAGTGCGGCATTTTTTTTTTGTGCTTATATTGAATTGGAGTATTGATCATTTTGGAAGTGAAATATAATTCTTAAATTAGTATTAATTTTCAGCCCGGTTAACTAGTAGCCTTAGATCTTTTGCTAATCTGACATGGATCCAATAATCATAAGATAATATTTAGTTTGATATGGCGTCGGTTCAAAATCATTTTATTTATGTGTAATGAATTTGTACGACAAATACATGTAAAGTAAAGATGAACCTGATTATGTATTTTGATTCTTTGGATAAATACAATAGTTTAAGGCTTTAAGCGATAAACTAACTATACACTCACTCGATTGGTTTAACGAGTTATGCTTTTTATCACTTTTAATAATTAATTTATTCATAAGTTATCAAGTTACTTTTCTCCGTTGGTGAATAAGCGACCAATCTATTCGTTAGGTTTCAGGTGCTCTGATTCACATTATTGACTGTGAATGGAGAAGAAGCATTTCGAATGCAAAATTGGAGAAGTAATTGAGATGTTTTTAGATTTCTCTCGATTTCAGTCAGTGGGAAGAAAGAGGAAGGGAAAAGGGGGAGAGTGGTGAGATAAAAAGTTAAGAGAGAGAGATGGAAGAACAAATGAAAAAATAAAGAGGAAGACAAAGAGAGAGTGAGATGACACATTTAAAAGAGGAGGAAAATGATGTAGTGTAAAATAATTTCCTTTATGCTTTGATTAATGGATATTCTTGGTCAATTCTGTTAAGTTTTGATTTATTTTAGGAGATGAGATATATATATTTGATATATTTTTATATTTTAATTTAAAATCCTAAATCAATATTATCATTTGGAAGATTAATTCCTAAATACGATTATTGTAATTTCTGAGATTTAAGGGGTATTTGATAATGACAATATTTTAGTGGTTTTTTTCTTTAAAGTTTGTATCGAAAGATCGTACGTACGGCGGTTAGACCATAAAACTTCACATCATAGGCTAGATCGATAGGTGATATTTAGCAATATGAAACGGTTGATCCACAGTTAAATTATGACTTCAGTATATAATAATCTACTACCAACTTTTTCAATACGATTTTACAATCCTTTGGTACAAACAATTCTTTTACACTTGTGGAAACAAAAGTTTTAAGGCACATTTTGAACTATCTATTGCAAAAAAGCATAAGTCAGTTTGCGATAATGAGAATATGCAATCTAATACAACCCAAAAGACACTTTGCAACTTCTATCTTTTTAAAATAAATGTATGCTACTCATACAGAGTAACATATATTTCGATGTAATATTATTTTCATACGTTTTTATTTATTGAACTATTTCATGGAAAAAAGTATTTGCTACATGAAAATTACTACATTGTGCTAGACATGTCTGCGATCTTAGAATAATTTGGGAAGTCCGTACAAAACACATTGTCCAACTAACTATTAGCGACAACTTAGCATCATGTCCTATATTTTTCAAATCAAGCAACTTCGGATTAATTACCAACAGTGTGGTAAAAAACAATGCTCTCTATTGGGAAAAACTTAAAGAAAATACTAAACTCTATGAAGACATTTTCTTTATGTATGTATTATGAGAAGCAATTCTAATATTCAACTATATGATTTGATTAAGTAATGAATGACAATTAGTTATATTTATTTTTTTATCGTTCAATAATTATATGTAATGCTTATATTATATTTTTCTCTTTTCATGAAGGTCTAAACACATTATGCATAGTTGGATCACTTTAAAATATGTTATGCGCATAACTAAGGTAGAAAAAATTATTTTATTCATTTCAAATCATCTATTATATCCATTATTATATACCATATTTCTCGAAAAAATTCTTTCGGTCAACGGACCGGGCTTGTACTAGTTATGTATAATGAGAACTTTGTACCAAATTATATTTAATTGACTCTATAATTAATTTTCGTTTCGTTTCAATATTTGCCTACAACTTTTAACTTGGACTAGGCTACTTGAGCGGTTGATCTCAACTATGGGCCTCAGCCCATAAAATCTTTGGATCGGCAGCTTTTGCTTTGCCAGCATGCTTCCGGCGACTTCATTATGGCGAAGGCCACCATTTATGAGGGCTGTTTCGACCCTGGAGATTTTTTCAGAAATAGTACTGTTTAACAAAAAAATTCAAAAATAGCACCCAACTCCGACAAATTCCAAAAATAGCACCCTTTTTGCAAAACCGCCACCCGTAACAGTGGTTTAGGCGAAAACCGTCATCCGGGGCGCGTTTTTCGATGAAAACCGCACTTGTAGGGGCGGTTTTGCAAACCGCACCCCTACGATGCGGTTTGTTTGCAGACCGCACCCTCACGATGCGTTCTGCTTTTTTTTTTTTTTTTAAAATCCTAACCTAGGTCGAAACTTCAAACGAACGTATCTTTATGTTCGGGTATCCGATCGTCGCGAATTTTTTTTGATTTCGCATAACTTTTTGAGATCTTGCAAGCCGAAGACTGCCAAAGGTGCTTTGGTCTCGCCTTTGTCCCAAAAAATGTCGTTTGCTACCCCGAACGAGCTTTTTTCCGATTTCGTCAAACTTTGGACAACCGTAACTTTGTGCTCCAAAATCCAAACGGCATTAATTTTTTTTTTATTCGCATAACTTTTTAAGGACTACAATTTTTACTAGGAATGAATTTTCAAAACAGGAATTATTTTTGGATATACAGGATTTTGGGAATAGCTTATCTTCCCTTCTCAGCAATCCACGTACATTTTGAAATTATGTCTATGATAAAAGTTGTATTCCTTAAAAATTTATGCGAAATAAAAAAAAATTCATGCCGTTTGGATTTTGGAGCACAAAGTTATGGTTGTCCAAAGTTTGACGAAATCGGAAAAAAGTTCGTTCGGGGTAGCAAACGACATTTTTTGGGATGAAGGCAGGACCAAACCACCTTTGGTAATCTTCGGCTTGGAAGATCTCAAAAAGTTATGCAGAATAAAAAAAAATCGCGACGATCGGATACCCGAACATAAAGATACGTTCGTTTGAAGTTTCCACCTAGGTTAGGATTTTTCAAAAAAAAAAAAAAAAAACAGACCGCATCGTGGGGGTGCGGTCTGTAAACAAACCGCATCGTGGGGGTGCGGTCAGCAAAACCGCCCCCTACTAGTGCGATATTCATCGAAAAACGCGCCCCCGGGTGGCGGTTTTCATCGAAAAACGCACCTCCGGGTGGCGGTTTTACAAAAATGGTGCTATTTTTGGAATTTTTTTTTTAAACAGTGCTATTTTTGGAAAAATCTCCTTAATGTGCTTGAAGCGATGGTGCTTGGGGATTGCCTGGTTCATTGCAAGCATCTCGAGATGTCAAATGTGTGTATTCAGGGGATGAAAAAATTATAATTGACAAATGTCGTGTCAGTGCTCTTGATGATTCGGAGATTGGGATCTTGCTGCGTGAGATTGCCTTACTGCTTCAAGAATTTCTGTGTGCGTCTGTCACTTTTATCGGTAGATCAAACAACAGAGTTGCTCATTCGGTAGCACGTTAAGCTCTGGTTTTGTCGCCCCGTCTCTTGGCGAGGTTGGACTTTGTAACCTGGTTGCGTAGTAGATAGGTGTTGTTCGACTGTGATCTTTGTTGTACCTCTTTTGTGGAGGAATCTAATGGCGGGACAAAAAAAAAAACTGATGGCTAGCTAAGACTATGCCGATGGAAGATAACCCAATAAGGCCCAATTTACAAGACAAATCCCAGAAAACGTCTGAACTCGGCCCGAAAGTCCCACACGCTTCACCTTCATTGGCTCTGATGACATGTTTGACCTTATTCTGTTCATGATTGATCATTACTCATTACTCATAAGCTAAATGCCTACAAACGTTGAATACTCAAATCAAACTCATAAGTGTTGTTCTGAATCAGGTTTGCAGATGTGAAGGACGACAGTAGCGAAATCAAACCAAACCTCCTCATTGTCTGCTAGTGACTGAGTTCTCATGAATCCAAAGAAGGAAAAGTTCTGTTATGGAAATGTCATAGCAAGATTGACCAGATCATTGAGGGGAACTGTACAGCAGATGCATGTTTTTGAAGTTTATAACACAAACGGCCAGCTGGTTCAAGAACCTTAGATGATCAATCAAGTGAAATTTGCAGCATAGGCTTCTGCTAAGTTGCTAACAAGAAGAGCCAAGATTACTGTTTCATGTTAAATGTCAAAAGTAAAGGCAGTTCCAGAATAGTATGGACTGTGGAGGGCAATAGCAGAAGAGTAATCTTCAACGGAATGGTGGCAACAAACAAATGGATAGATTCAGATTGAGGAATGTGCACAAGATGTCTAACGACAATTAGCACATTAATAACAGTGGCAACAATGCAGAAAATGCAGATTAGGATGGATTAACACAGTTTATCCTCCAAGTTTGCAGCTAAAGTTTGATGTTGCCCCTCTACCTACTGCGAATAGCCAAATGTGTTTGTGTTCCCTCTTACGACCCTGGTATGTTAAGAACTGTGGCAAACAAACATCAACATCAAACGCTAGCCTCCCAGGATTAGGTTCATATCAGAAGAAGGCAATGAAACGAGCCATCCAATTGGTATCATCTGATCAAAGCAATCCTAAGTTTTCCAGATTGCAGCAAGTTTAATTAGAATCTAAAACAGAAAGGGCAACAACACAAATTCGATTAGACTAATTATTGCAGCGATAATCGGAACATTTACAAGGTAGTTTGATACTGCATCGCCTTTTCTTTTTACTGGCATTGAGTTGACAAATGCAGCAATCAGCATGGTCAGCAAGCACATGTCATGATGAAATCATTTTTCCTCTAGAGACCCAAAAAATTTTATTGACCCTGCAACCCCAATTGATTCAACAACAGTAGAGAAGCCGCCATGAGCACCAAAATCGAATTGTAATTGCAGTCAAAATACATTTAAGAACCAATCAATCAATGAATCAAATGCTGGCCTCATGATTCAGGTACTTCAGGAACTTTGTATAGATCGGCAGTTACTTCTGTTAGCCACAGTCCCGGAAAAAGCACCTGCAGCAGAACAGCAAACCAGATTCCAATCAGGAAACATTCATAATGGGATTCAAAATGCCAGAAATGACTTAAGAAGAAGCAAACTTTGAACACCATTGAAGAAGATCAGAATAAGAGGGGAAGAAAAAATCGTGTGGCTTACATCCAAATACTTCTGAACGATTCTGGGCCGCTTCTTGGGTCTCCTGGGAGGTCTAATCCTGGCAATCTCCATGAAATCCTCCTCAATCTCTTCCTTGGACAACGGCACACGCAACTTACTGGGTTTTCCCCTGATCGAGGGCGGCAGCGGCGGAGGGTCCAAACACTGCCGCTTCGCCGGTGGCGAGGAAGAAGAGTCAATCTCGAAAGCTCTCTTGGGCGATTTCTGATTACTAATTTTGATGTCTTCCGGTCTCGTTAGTGGGGCCTTACAAGCTGCTCTTCTGGTCCGCAGATTCCACGGCCGGGAGGAGCTGGGGGGATCATCGGCCCCGCCGTTGATTCTAAGATCAGGGGAAGAAGTGGCGTTGTTGTGCTGAACTGGATTGCCGATTGCGGGTCTGGCTTGGATTGACCCTTTGAGGACGGCGGAGGAGGATGACGGGCGGTGGTGCGGTGGCGGTGGCGGAGGCGGCGGCGGAGGAGGAGAAGGAAGCAGAAAAAGATGATGATCGTCGGGAGGTGGGTCCTTGACGCACTTTAGGTGTCGCTGGCTTCCCCATTTCAAACAGGGGAGAGAGAAGTTGTGAAGTGTTTTGGATCTCTCCTGCGGCGGCATCGCCATTGAAGACGACGAGCGAGCCCCGAAATCAAACAATCACTGCCCAATTCTCCTTCTGTGGGATACAGAAATTTGAGTTTCTGGAGAAAGTATATGGGTGTGATCAGAAAGGGAAGGAAGATAGAGCTGTGAGGTGTGGGGTATTGTTAATGGCGATTCTGTTCTTCGGTTTTGGCTATGGAGAAATCTGTGGGGTGGGAGGAATTTTCAGAGAGACAACGAAACAGGGGAGGCAGAAGGAGTATTACTTTAATGGAATTAAAAAGAAAAATTGCTTCTTTTCTTTGTGTTGTGGGATGATAATTATTGGGAATTGCCGGGAATTTATGAATTTATATACAAGGAAGGAAAGAAAAGGTTTGAGAGGGACAAAGGGGGAGACCGGTTTTAGCGTTCCAGTTTCCACTAGTTAATTGAGAGAATATTTCCCCGTTATCTCTACAGTAGCTGGTATTTTATGACATTTATTTATTAGGTTGAGTATTTCTGTTTATATATTTATTTTAATTTTTTTGGTGAGAGGTTGAGTATGTTTAATTGTTTATGAATTATGATACATTATTAATTTTTTGGTAAAAATGAAATATGTTTAAACGGCGTGCCTACCTTTATCAGTTAACTCATATTTAATTTTCAATTTCAGTCTAATTGAAGACAACTAGTAACCTAAGGATTATGGAGTAACAAGGATCGACAAAGATATGCTTTTTAATGAGCAAAGAATGATCTAACATGTAACGATGCTAAATATTCGACTACAAAGCTCACCTCTTCAAATACATGCTTGAAACGAACCTGCCAAGAGCGAGCTATTACCCTCATAATCTCGACTACTATTGTATAATGAAGATGAGTCGATGTGGCCATCTCAATATGGTACTTGGTTGTTCACGAATCATTTTGTTGTACAACCTTCCCAACTCCCGCTTCCCAAGCAATCTTGAGACCATAAACAACTCCACGTAGCTCTGCAACTAGTTATGGAACTCTCTTACATGTTCACTAGAAAAGCTCAAAGAAAGTTTTTGTTGTCTCCCCTCACAACACTTTTAGCTTGAGGAGGGCATCAGATGAGCCTGGTAGGTTTCAGTCTTAAAATTTACCCCCACCCCACCCACCCACCCCGACAAATTTTCACCCACCAACCACCCACATTCAATCTCGGGTTATATCAAATTCAACACAAACTCTAGTAACCTTGCGCCCCTTGAACTAGGATTACAACAGTTTAAGTTGTATGTAGGATAGCCTCCAGACCTCGAGGTTGCATCCAAACAAAGGTTGACTTAATTTCACAAGTACAAGGATTAAATCCCTTCTTCAATTGGTGGATAGTGAAATAATGGTCTCTTATCATCTCGAGGCCTCCCGTCGGCATCTTCACATTATATGCTTTGCATGTGAATCACACTCGATGATACATGCGTGTGAGGTTTGTGGTTTCTAGAGTACTTGTTCATGCCCACGCCATGGTAAAAAGAAATTACATATAATGATGCCTCGCCATTTTTACAGGAAAAGGCACTGAGTATTGTATACTACCTGCTGGACAGAGACAGGACTGAGTCGAGCCTCTTTCATACCCTTGTTCACAGTATGGTCTTTTCACTGAAGTCCAGGGCTTCTGAGATTCTCCTCCGAAATGCATGATCAAATCAAATAAAAGGATGACAATTACATTAATTACGAGAAGAGGTCTTGCAGCAGCGGTTGCATATGTAGGAGGTTTGGAAGAAAGTATGAACGGGCCCCCCTATTGGGGACTCTTCTAATCCCGATTCTGCCTTTGGAGCTATAGCTATCTGAAAATGTCATTTTAAAGTTTCGTTTTCTTCTTCGCTTGACGATCTGTTAAGAGATGATCAATCTCTTACCAAGGAATCAGCACTAGAAGACTCCACTTGTCTATTGCTACATGTTTACCCTAGAAATTAATTTTGTACAACACTGATTAATTTTAAGGAATTTAGTGAATTTATAAGGTCAAGTTATCATGAAACATTAAATGACTTAGCTAGGTTTTATTGAGTTTAGTTTTATTGGTCGGCATATGTGGTTGTCACCATCCTCATGGCCTAGGTGACCTACTAGTCTCAACAGGACGGATAATAAGTCAGTGGGTATGAAATTTAGCTTATAAAAACTAAGTATGAAATCCTGATGGTGGCAAGATGATGAGGCTCCAAAACCCAAGTATGGAGATCTAGCCGACAAGATGGGCTTGGTGGCCACATGACAGGATACCAAATCGGTAGGGCGCAATATACCAACTTGGTAAGACTCCAAAAACAAAGTATGGGTATCAAGCCAACAAGACAAGTTAGGTGACCACTTGACAAAGTACCAAACCGACAAGACAATGTACCAACTAGGGAGTAGGGATCATCCAAAAACTAAGTCTGCAAACCAAGTCGACAAGACATGTTTGGTAGCAAGGCAACATGTACCTAGTCGCGCAAGGCAACGGGGTATCAAGTTACCAAACCTCTCAAAAACTGAGTATGGAATGAAACAGAGTACCAACCCGACAGGACAACAGGGCTTGGCAATATGGCATGCATAAAGTTGGAAGGTATCAAGGGCTGGAATCGAGGGCTTAATGGGAAGGAGGCATGGTATGAAGCCGACAAGGCTACAAAGTACGAACTATGGAATCATCCAAAAACTAAGTATGGAGACCATGTCGGTAGGACATACTTGGTGTCAAGCTGAAAGGGTACCGAGCCAAAACGATTAACTTGTTGACAATCTAACAAGCCAGCCGGACATTACAGACTTGATGACAAGCTGGTAAAAGGTGGTATGATATCAAGCCAAGGAGACATGCTTGGTACCGAGATGATAGGTTGGCACCATGACTAGCTCTCTAAGACTAAGTATGGAGCATTGGTGGATAACAAGGCCTAACTAATTCATCGAGGTGGCTAGCAAGAAAGGGGTATCAAACCGATGAGGCACTAGGTAACAAGATGATACCAATTGGACAATAGAGGAGCTAAGTGTGGAGTAAGTGGGGTTGTCAAGGGTATGATCAAGACTTCCTCATGAAGGCAAGGCAAAGAACTTCAACCCCATCTAATCATGACAAGGCAACAAGACACACCACCAACCCCGTCTCGCGTAGAGTTCACCAAGATGGAGCGAGGGGTTCCAAGGCGATGTGAGTGAACACCAAGACGATGATTACTAATTAGTCATCAAGACGACAATGAGGACCCCAAAGCGGTTGGAGCAACCGGTCAACTAGTGGTTGCAAGGGCAGTTACACCTTATGACTATGAATAGGATAAAAGAAGATTGAAAAGAGGTTCCCAAAACCAACATTGACACCACATGTCAAACTTTATCATTTTTCAGCAATGTAGTCGTAGTTGTAGCTTTTACTTTCTGAAGCTCTCATTGAGCCTCCACATGAATAGAATAATGGAACTTAGTTTTCTCGGCAATCTACACCATCAAACACCCTTGTTCAAACATTGTTTGGAAAACACTGTGTTACTAATCGTTGTTCTAGAAGTCAAAAGTACGATCAATTAATATCAATACAAAAGTTTCATCGTCGGAAAACACTACAACTGGTTAGGGACATAGGGTAACAATAAACCAAGTGCCTTAAGTCCTTAACCACTAGGGTAGAGCGCCTTACTCTCTAATAAATCTTTTTTCTCTCTCAAAAGCATTGAAGGACAGGACAAGCTCTGAGGATCTTGATTTTTTAGTGCATATATTATTTTATTTAAAATAACATTCTGTGGAGAATTTGAAATTTCAATCACACATCTTTGTTTACTATGAGGGTATAGTTTAGAACTACCAATCCATATTGTTATTCATAAACTTATTCATATAGTTGTCATTGGATGAAGTCATGAAGTTTAACCAAGTAATTTGAGCAATCGTAAATGATTTTGGTATACATTCACAATTTTGCTATTTCATTATTATACTACTGAAGATTAAGATTGTTTTTAGATTAATCGAATGATCAAAATAACATTATATACATTAGGATTACACAAACCTTGCATTTTGGATGGAGAAATGCAGAACAAACGAATTGGAGCCGCTCTATGCTCATCCGTGTTCTTTATGATCCTTTGCTTGTGTTCGATGCCCATACCAGGTTGATCTGACATTACAAAAGCTCAAGTGTTTATGCTAATTATGTCGGTTTTGGGTCTACACTTACACGGTTTTGCTTTTATAGTGCATCATGGTGTTTACCCATTAAAAAATCAGCTTGTACCACATTGATTAACTACAAGAAATTCAATGGATTTATAAGGCCAGCTCAACATTAATAATTAAAAGAGCTAGCTAGGCCTTATTGGGTTGGGTTTTTGGGCCTAAGTGGCCAAACCTCTTCATCTCTATACGATGGCCAACCCGTCTCCGTGGCCACCATAGTCGGACGATGCCTCCACCCCTTGGTATGAAATTTGGCTCCCAAAAACTAAGTCTGAAAACAAGGCAACACAACGGGGTGCCAAATGACCAGGTACCAAGCCCAGTACCAAATAGGAGTTCATCCAAAAACTAAGTATGGAAACAAGGTGGCACAACGGGGTGCCAAGCCAAGGGGTACCAAGCCGGCAAGACAGAGTTCGTACCCAAGTATGGAAATTGACTAAGTATGGAATCCAATGGCCAGGGGGGCATAATGGGTGGTGCCGTCAAGGCAGTGCTTGATATCAAGACATGAAAACCATGAATTTGGCTAAGTATGGAGCTAAAGGGGTACCAGGCCAGCAAGGTAGCCTCGGTACCAAAAATCCTAGATGGTATCAAGCCGGCAAGGCAGAACTAGTACCCAAACATGGAAATTGGCTAAGTATGGAGCCAATAAGGTACCAGACCACCCATAGCAACAAGGGGCCAAACAAGACGAAGACATGGAATTTGGCTAAGTATAGAAACAATAGGAGCTTGGTAGCCAAGCAAGCGGGTACCAAGTAGGCAAGATAAGCTTAGTACCAAGCACCAAGGGGGTATCAAGCCGGGTACCAACTAAGAGAGTCATACATAAACTAAGTCTGGATATCAAGCCGACAAGACTGGCTTGATAGCTAGGCATCATGGTACCAAGCCAATAAGACAAGAAATTTGACGAAGGCAAGGTGGCTAGCTGAGGTGGCCACCCGACTAGGGTATCAAGCAGCCATGGATGGATCGGCCAGGATGCTGAGCTAAGGGTATCAATATGATGAGGACTCGGTGTAGAGCCCCTTAGGGGACCATATGGAGACTAAGCCCCAAGATGGGCTTGGTGGCCCCTTAATGGGGTACCAAGCCGGCAGGGCGGCAATGTACCAACTTGATAAGATTCTAAAAACTAAGTATGAAGACCAAGAATACGGTGCAGGCTTGGTGGCAGGGGCCGACATGACTGGCCTGGTAGTAGAGGGTATCAATACGGAGAGACAACAAGGTACCAAGTTGTTGAGACGGACTTGCTAGCATGTTGATAAGAGTGGCTTACCGACAGGGCAAAGCAGAGGGTATCAAGTGGTATCACGTTGACAAGATTGGCTTGATACAAAGATGACAAGTTGGTGGCATGACAAGTTCTCTAAGACTAAGTGTGGAGACTTGGTGGGTAAATGGGCCAAGTTCTCATCTTGCCTAGATAGGTAATATGGCCTAGCTATCAAGACGGTTCATCGAGGTGGCTAGCAAGATGAGGGTGGTGCCGGGTTGACATGGAGGGGGTTCTCTCTCATGTAATCAATGTGATAACGGTCTCAAGACAACAAGAGCGTGGAGTCGTCAAGGCTTTCAATGATCTGATCAAGGATGTGATCAAGACTTCATCATGGAGGTTAAGGCAAGAGCTTCAATTCCACCCCGTCAGGATAAGGCAACAAGACTCAACACCAACCCACCTCACCCACGAGGCCATCAAGTACCAACTAGCACCAAGACGGGATAAGAGGTCCCCCAAGGCGATGGGAGTGAACACCAAGGCACGGTTACCATTTGGCCCACCAAGGCGACGGTTACACACAATGTCAAACTTTTATCCTTTCTCTGCAAATTAGCCATAGCCTTAGTTTTCGGAGCTCTCGTTGAACCTCCATAGGAGTAGGAGTAACGTAACTTATTTATCAGCCATCAAAATCATCAAACACCCTCGTTCGAACATTGTTCGGAGAGGTGTGAACCGTTTTATTAATCGTTGTTCAAGAAGTCAAGGTGCATCGATTGAATTCAAACACCAGAATTTTCCTGGCCGCTCGATGTACAGGACAATCATTGAGGATAAGTTTGCTGGGGTGCCTAACTTCCCCTCCAAGTCGGTCTGGAGAAAGGTGGTTCCGGGGAAGATCTGTATGTTCGTTTGGATTGCTACACTTAAAAGAACTCTAACTCTTGATACCTTAAAGAAGCGGGGCGTGCAGCTGGCTAATCGATGGGAGCTATGCTGTAAGGAAGAGGAATCAATTGAGCATATTCTGACTAGATGCATCTTTACCAGCCAGGTGTGGAAAGAGTTTGAGAAGGGTTGCAGCTTTACAAATCTACCGGTGGGTGATAATATCGCAGCGAGTGTTGAGAATTGGCCTGTGTCTATTCCTAGCAGCTTTGAAGGATGGGTTAAATATTGTGCATTTCATGGTGTTTCTTGGTTCATTTGGCTAGAGCGAAACCAGAGAGTCTTTCATAATATTTCATCCAGTCCAGATCGGATTGCCACGAGATCAATCAATAACATCTCTAGGTGGATCACAGCCAAAGGAAAAGCGGATCGCATCTCTGTCGCTGCCTGGCTTCAGGTGTTTCGACACCGTATTCTCTAAGGATGGCGTCTGTCTGCGCCCCGCGGTTGGCCGGGTCTTCGTGATTTCCCTGGCCGCTCGTTTTTCTGGGTAGAGAGACTTGCTGCTGGGTATTCGTGAAGTGTTCTTGGATTCGAGCGATCGCCGTTTGTGCGGTGGCTTCGTTGATCCCCTTGCTTGATCTCCTGTTTGCGGTTTGGATCAAGGGTTTTCGGGCTTCCCTTATCCTTTGGACTTTCTTTTGCTGGTTTCCCCTGTGTTTTTCCGTTCCTTTTGTCGTTCGTTCTTTCTTCCTTCCTTTTCTTCTGTGTCTCTTTCTTAAGGTTGCACTCCTGGTGCCCAATTGTATCAGACTCTCCTCATTTCAATGCAACTTTCACCTTCATAAAAAAAAAATACCAGAATTTTCCTCGCCGGAAAATACATGGTAATTTCAGAAAGTCGCTTATCTTTGCACTACTTCACACTGAGCACGTTTAACTTCATAATTCTGACAAGAACTCATCTATATAACCGCAAAGCGTGTCTTATTATTAAGATTTGTCAATATAAAATTTGCTTAAAGTATTACCTTTTCTTTAGGATTTTGAATTATGTTTGGCGGAAGAAGGAAAAAAGCCCAAATAATGCCCGGCCTCCATATTCTCACTGAATTCAGATATTTTCCCGCAAACTTTACAGACACTGACTGTTTCCCGCATTCCTCCAAAGAACCATCAAAATGACAGTTCCAGTCGAAAGAAAATCAACCATAGCTTGACGATGAGATTTTTCTGCAGCTTCAATTTAGTGGCTAACCAAACAAAAATCAACTGAAAGCGAAACATCCACAACTGCATATAATATTATCCCAGAAATTTGAGCTCTGCACCGACGATCGAAATCTCACAGAAACACAACATCATGTAGCACATTGTTCAGCCTCCCCATTTTATTATATGATTCTCCAAGTCACTATTGTGTTTGTGGGTGCTGCTGCCATCGCAGCAGCAGCAGCAAATGCCAACCAAAAGAAGAAGCCAATAGATCCTCCGAGGGAGCCAGAGGAGGAAGATGACAAAGATGAGAGCTTTGTCGACGCAATTAGTAGTGCTTGGTCGGAAGCAGAGGAAAAGATCATGGCCGAAGACATCGAGTATCGTAAGGAGGCTTTCGAGACCAAATTACTTGCTCTGTACCTTCACAAGGAGAAGGAATCTTGCCTTCTTACATTGCGAAGGGACGTGGAAGATAAGATCGACGAGATCGGGAAGCTAGACGTCAAGCTGAAATCTTTAGAGGCAGAGATCGAGGATCTCGTTTTTAAGCAGGGGAAGTTGCAGCTGGAACAAAGTAGGGAGCTAGAGCTGGCTAACAAGACTGTGCAGCAACTGCACAAGAGATTAACGCTGGAAGCCGATTCGAACAGTATGGTTTTGGAGAAAATGAAGATGATTCAAGAACGAGTTTCTGAACTTCAAGATGGAGAATTGTGTCAGAGTAAGAGAGACGCGCGGGTTGATGAGAAATTGAGGGGTTTTGAGTTGGGAATCTTGAGAATAAAGAGGAAGAACAAAGAGTTGGAGATGGAGAAGAGAGCAATTTCCCTCAAATTGGTTGCAGCTAGAGAAAGCAGAGCATTCCCCATTTTGAACGAGGTGAGAAAATTACTATTTGATGATCAAGTTTACTTCTTCTTCTCATTATTCATTTGGTGCTCTGTTTTGTCGTGGATGCAGAGGGAGGTTCCTCCAGAATTGGATGAGGAATTAAGAATTGTGAAGCAGGAAAATGATGAGCTACTAAAGCAAGTTGAGGCGTTGCAGAAGAGCAGATTTAGCATGGTGGAAGAGCTAGTTTACCAGCAGTGGATCCACGCTTGCCTGAAATTCGACTACTCCGGCAAACCGTGGAGACCACACTCTGAAACTGATACCAACAGCAGTTCGGATAGAAGCTCTCCTTCCATCATCAAGAGAAGAACCAGCATGGAGAGATCGACTAGCTTAATTCGCCAGATCAAGAATTGGGGGAAAACCCAGAGCAATTTTCGGGCTCGGAGATTCTCTACTTCGATGATACCCTCGAGGCCACTGTCAATGTTGAGCGGGGATTCCAGAGAGGCAGAGGAACTGAAAAACAGGGGAATTGCAAACACTCTGAACCCCAGAAAACGGAGAGTGTCCTTCAATGATCACGTCAGCATCTTCGAACTGACGCCTGAAATGTGTGCAGAAGAAGTACGGGCTACAGAGCCAGCAGAATCTGTATCTGATACGGAATACCCTACAGTGACACCGCCGGATTCTGAAATCGCCATTGACAGAGTTAGCAGATCGAGTGCTGAAACTGATTTCGAGATCGATGAACAAGAAGAAGAAGAAGAAGTAACGAAATTGGATGAAGATATGGTTAATGAAACAGAATCTGAAGAGGATTTCAATTTGAGGGTTGCGATTGTTCGTCTTCCTGATCAAAATGCTGTTGGGGTAGGTCTAAGCCATGCTCTGTCTTTGTTCCTCTGTTTTTGCTTTGTTGTTGCCATAGTAGTGAGTTTAGCTAGGCGTCTCTTGGCCGGGAAATAATAGGATTGCACAAACTTTATAGGATTTCCATGTGAATATGATTATATTGTAATCGATGGTAAGGAAAAAATAGTAAGACTTGATCTCCTAGAGAACAATGCGACTATAGTCTTTAGTGACAAGAATGATCAACTTCCCTATAATTTCTTAGAATGATGTGAGATTGTACGATGATTAATGTCGAAAATGGGGAATGAACGATCAATTTTTTCATATTTTTAGGGACAAGTGATACTTGAAAAGTGACTAAGATCGAGAAAAGTTAAAAATTTCACGTTGCAATATTTAGGATCGAAGCAATGGTGATGCCAGTCTCGACGTCCAATTCGAGAAAAATTCGTTTGAAACTCGACTTGTTTTTAATTGACTCACAAATCACAATCAAGTTCGTCTGTAAACGCGCCAAAGATAGAGCCATGACATTTTCAGCTCGATAGGCTCGCGAACAAGCTCAAAAGACTTCAAACTTTTGTTGTTGGTATCTTGTGAGTTGTGTTCGAGCTCAAACTTGAGCTACAATCGATATATAATGAGTTGAACTTCATTTTTGCTCGTTAAGCTCGAGTCAAGTTCAACCTTTTATTTTTGTAAACGAACAGATATATGAGCTATGATAAAACGTCTCGAATCATATCTATTATTTTTATTAAACATTAACTATCAGCAAATAATGAACATTTTAAAATATTTTTCAACAATCTAAAAAATTACAATCTTTCCTAAACCAGTAAACCGTAGTGAATGGAAAAAGGAAAACAGAATCTGTCCCCAATTGGATCAATCAATCAATCAAATCTTCATATGGAAGAATCGTCTACGGTAACGTCATCTGCGCAATAACTCTACTCCCTTGTCCCCGGAAACCCAAAACCCTAAAATTTTCGTCCAATCAAACTTGAATCTTTGAAATTCCAGCCCTTTTTTAGTCGTCAATGGCTTCTCCGTCACTAGTTCCAAACTTCCACCGCGTAATTTAGCCGCCGCAGTACAATACTTCCACCCCTTTATTCTTCTCCTTCCACATAGTCCCTTCTGCCATGGACGCCCGTCGAGGCTCCCTCCCAGTTCCTAGAGTTCGCCAGGTCGGATTCTTCACTCCAAACGCCCAGCCCGCCCCGACCCGATCACAGTCCGGCCCGCCCGATTCCAGCTCCCCGCCGCTCTCCGATTCCCCGGCCAGCAACTCCCTGTCCCCCGTCATGATTCCTCCGCCGCGTCACCACTCCGACAACCTCGCTGCCGCCCCTCGTCCGACCTCCCCTCTCCCCGTTCCCGAACCCTCCCCCTTCCGCCGCCGCGGCGCCGACAACAACAACGCTCTCCTGGTCGGTAGCTACAATCCGGCTGAGACTCTGCTGGCGATGTCCCCGTCCAGTAGTCATGTCGGCGACGGCGAGTCGGAGGAGACGATGTCCGGTGGCTGGTTTCGGCGGAGCAATTCGGGCAAGCTGGCTTCCAGTCTGCCTAGCGGGACTTTTGACTTCAGTCCGGTCCAGTCAACTGCTGAGGCTTTGAAACCCAACAAGGTCCAGAACCCCGTCGGCATTTCTGGTAAGTGTACATTATTCATCGGAATGTTGGGGGTGATTAAGTGCATTGCGTGGGGAAGTTCGAATTGAATTGAATTTGTTCTTGATAGATTGCTCATGGCTAAAGATATCTGGAAGAAGGTTGCCCAAAAAAGAATTTTGCTTTTTGGGATTTCTTAACTCGCGAAAGGAGGTGCCTTTACGTTAGTGGAGAATCTTAGCTCATAGCTGCTTACGTGAGAGAGAATGCAGTTTTAGAACTTTGGTTTGATAGTTATTTCCCGAACGTTTTGCTGAATAATACTATTCTTGCAGAAGTAAGTGCAAGGCCAGCTCCAAAGGAACAGCAACCTGAGGCTCCATCAAGCTCGAAGCAACCAAAACCAAAGCTAACGAAAGCTGAAAGACGTGCATTGCAGGAGTCTCAGCGTGCCGCCAAAGCTGCTGCAAAAGGTGCAATATTACTATCTTACTTTACTGAATTGTTCCTTGTAATTGGTATTTGTTTCTTAGTTTTCCATGACGACCTTTAGTGAATTGTTCCTTGTAATTGGTATTTTTCCCCAAAACCATCTATGGTGGAAACTTTTTGTTGTACCATTGAGTGTAACATCTTATTTTATACATTCTGTTTTTTCTCCCTAGGAAGTTCACATATTCTATTTTGAATGATGGTTTCCCAATCTCACTTTGTAAAAGGCTACTGAAAGCCGAGTTTGCTTGTGTCTACTGAAGCATTCCATTGAACTATTGGGTTTTGCTTGTGTTTACTGGAATTCTAGTTTTCTTGTTCAAAGTGCCATTGAGTGTCATTTAAAATAATCACTTTGACAGTTGACACATTCACTTCTTTGTTTCTCTTGTTAGCCATTGAGCCTTGACCTATATCAGACAAATGTTCAGTTTCTCACTGAAAGAACTTTTAGATTTACCAAAATGTTTTTTTGGAGGAACTGAATCATTCCTATAGTGAATTAACGATTGGGATGTTATCCAAACCAAAATGAAGAAAATTATGTTAGAAAGTTGGAGTAGTTCGAGAAGTTATGGGATCCAAATTTTCATTTAATGGTATCAACATATATATGAAACTGATACTGATTGTTTTCCTTACGAAGTCGGGGAAAAAAAAACTTGCTGAACTGCCATTTTAAATTTCAGAAATCGACTTGTCTTCTTTTCATTTTAGCCCCTGGCGGTGGTAAATCTGTCGCTGCGCCTGAGGAGGTGGCTACTATTAAATCTGTGAAACAGCATCAAACACAAAAGAAAGATGCTCCTCAGGTTGCAGTATCAGTTGCAGCTTCTGAACGGAAGGGAGGTGATAAGTCTCAAGAGAAAGAGCGGCGAAAAGATGCCCCTGCACCACGAATGCAATTTGATGATAAGAGTCGTGTTGAAAAGGCTAAAAGGCGTTCAGTGGTTGATCAAACCGAAGCAAAAAAAAGGGTTGAATTGTTTCGTCACTTGCCTCAGTATGAACATGGCACTCAGCTTGCTGATCTGGAGTCCAAATTTCTGCAACTTGATCCAATGCACCCTGCAATTTACAAGGTAATTTGGGATTTTTAAAGTTTATCATATCCATAGTAAGCGGCTCCAATCGGTTTGCCGGGCATTCATGCACCAAGGCCCCCTATCGTAAAAAAAAATCTCTCCTATCCTCATTGTTTTGTTCTGCTTCTCCAATACCTAGAAAAACGTTAATTTGAAAGCCCTGTCTGTATGACTGTATCTGTCTGGTATTTTCCAAGACGGTTAATTCGAGCAAGCATTTTGATAGTGTGAAGAATGTTGGCCTGATATCATGGTCCTTCAGCTTTCTTACTTCTATTCTTTGGTGATTTCGGGTGTCTAACTTAGGTGGCATGTGTTAGTCAAAGCAGATCAGACATTCATTTCATTTATAACGTATCATATTTCCAGTTATATTAGTCTTGCTCTTTTTAACTTTCCTCTTGTGCAAAACTTTTGGCAGGTTGGTTTGCAGTATCTGGCAGGAGATATTTCAGGGGGAAACGCTCGTTGCATAGCAATGCTCCAGGCATTTCAACAAGTCGTCAAAGACTACTCTACTCCGCCTGAAAAAACTCTCCCGAGAGATTTAACCGCAAAAATCAGTAGTTACGTCTCATTCTTCACACAATGCCGACCACTTTCCATGAGCATGGGCAACGCCATTAGGTTTCTCAAAAACCGGATTGCCAAGTTGTCCCCATCTCTGTCTGAATCAGAATCAAAATCCTCCATATGCACCGACATTGATCGTTTCATAAATGAGAAAATAGTACTGGCTGACAGAGTCATAGTTCAGCATGCTTCCAGCAAAGTGAAGGATGGTGACGTGCTTCTCGTGTACGGATCGTCGTGTGTGGTTGAGATGGTTCTCTTGCACTCTCATGAGCTGGGGAAACAATTCCGTGTCATTGTAGTCGACTCTCGGCCCAAACTTGAAGGCAAAGCTTTGCTTCGTAGGCTGGTGGCAAAGGGTGTGCATTGTACTTACACTCACATAAATGCCGTTTCGTATGTCATGCATGAGGTGACAAAAGTTTTCCTCGGTGCTTCTTCAGTGCTGTCTAACGGGACAGTATATTCGAGGGTTGGGACTGCCTGTGTGGCTATGGTTGCCCATGCGTTTCGAGTTCCTGTCATAATTTGTTGCGAAGCTTATAAGTTTCATGAGAGGGTGCAACTGGACTCGATCTGTTCAAATGAGCTCGGTAATTAAGGTTTTTCTTGTTTGGAGCTGGGATGTGAATTAAGACACCGGGAATGTACTCATGACCTGGTGAATTGCGAATTGGTTGCAGGTGATCCTGATGCCATTGGAAAGGTGCCCGGGAGAATGGATGTGAACTACCTCAATGATGTGTCAAATTCTGGCAATCTTCAACTCCTAAATTTGATGTAAGCGATCCAGTGTGCCAGGTTTCCCCCCCATTTATGCCTTATTAATGTATCTAACCTTCCAATTCTGGGTTGTGTCGTGGCAGGTATGATGCTACTCCTGCAGATTATGTATCTATGATTGTTACTGATTATGGCATGGTAAGTCCTGAAAGCTCCTGGACCTGGTATATGTTCATAGCAGTTTTTCAGCTCGTTCTGGTGTGTTATTTTTACTTGTGTTCTGCAAAATCCTTTTACTGATGATTGCAGATCCCACCAACAAGTGTTCCTGTGATCGTGCGGGAGTACCGAAGGGATCACCTCTTAATATAAGGCGCCAGTGCTGGGAAAATCGTGGACTGTGTTTTGACTGAATAGGATAGGAAACTCCTGATTGTTTACTAAGTTATTATTGATGTTACTGTGCCACGCTTCCTCTGTAAGTCTGAGTTCAGTTTTTTGGTGGTTATAATCTTTTGGCCTGTGTTCGTGTGTTGGAATGGAGTTGGGATTTCTGGTAACCCAAGCTACGGTTCTAGATGGCTTTTAAACCTTGTAACTGGATTCTCAAATTGTTACGAAGGTTCAATCTGATTTCCAAATAATTTTTAAATAAATTTCCCTTAAATGGGGCTAACATTTTATTGTTAGAAACAACTGTATTTGCACATGTACAAGCATTACATACTACAACTATAGACAAACTTGGTTGTCTACAAGTTACAACAAGTCTACAACATGAGGGAAGCTAATCACGTCTGTAGCTTCAATTCTTTGATGTCCTACCTATATCAGTTTTCTTTCTTGTCCGAACTGCTAACGTTGTTACTTGCCGCTGCTGCAGCCACGGCCATCTCCATCAACCTCTCGTAGTCAATCTCAGTTGATCTGTACTTAAACTTGATCCCCTTCTGAATCCATGACCTAACACAAAGCACGGTTTGTGTGCTATCATGTGGCATACAGAACCGCTGCTTATCAACCTCCTCACCTTTCCCACAGAACACTTCCTCGGGAGCAACTGAGGTAGGCTGCACTGCCAGGAAATCTCGGGCCATCACTGAGAGTCGAGGGTAGCGTGTGCTGTTCACCTTCCACCACTCCAGAACATCAGTCGGTATTGGTGCTGGGGCCTCCGTAAGGTACTGAGTAAGTTCGTCAGTCACATTGCTCATACTAGCTCTTCGTCTCTTTCGCACGATCTCCTCGGCAAAAGAAACATTCGCATGTCCTCCGTCTTCAATCTCCTGCGACTGCAAGCCATACCCACCCGCCATCGATGGGCCAAAATGGGTTGTGGAGTAGTTTCTTACGAAGTGTGCTCTTGCTTCTTCTAAGTAACCTCCCGAGCTGAGGCTCCCGGGGATGAGCTCAGTTTTTATACGCGGGTCAAGGATTGCAGTCATGTAGGTGAATAAGTTGCAGACTTGGGTGCTGTAACTTCTGGCCTTCTTGGCCATATCTTCTGCCACAGTTTTGAACCATTCTGGAGAGTGGCGAGATTCTCTGCACATGCTGATCGTCTCAGAAATGTGGTCCATGAAGAAGAGAACTAAACCAACTGTGAGGAACTTGTTTGTGCATATGTCGTTTGTTGTCTTGTGGAAGGGCTCCAGAAATCCGTGAACAACACTGATTGCATTCTTCTCTGTAGAACCTAATGTCATCCTGTTGCCTAAAACTTCTTCGTACTTCCTCATGACACCGTCCACAGATTTACCAGCCTGCATTATAATATACAGAGGTACGATTACGAGTTAGTGTATTTGAGTCAACTCCTAAAAAGGTTACACTTCTACGAATTTACACAACAGAGTATAGTCTGATTCTACGCTAATACCTTCCGCACAAGATCAAGCATCTGGTAATTCCCGCTCCATCTTGTTGAAGTTTCAAGAGGAAACTTCCAACTGCTGCCTTCCTGGTACGCGGAGTTCAACTGAACAAAATCATCCAACATCTCAACCGATGAATTCATCTCCAGCACAAGCTCCCGTACCCTAGAGATCAATGGTTTTGTCGTCCTCAACCCATCATCAATAATCATATTCAAACTGCGAGCAGCACAAGGAATATAGCAAAACGGCCCTGCTTTAAGGCCATCCAAGTCATCCTTCAGCACATGACACGCATGAACGGCTGTCTCGCTATTATCATGAGTACAAGATAACACCCTGTCCTCCAGTCCATACATCTTGAGAACCTTGGTCAGGCACTGGTACATCTCAGAACCTCCAAAAGGGTAAGGTACGCGGCATATATCGAGTAGAACCTTATGAAAGCACCAATGCTCATCGATCCAATGGCACGTTACGCTCATGTAGAAGAAAATAATAAAAATGAAACCTAACTATCCAATCTAGCTTTCCTTTCATTAATTTATTTATGTGCTACTTTGGCCCTATGAACAATGTGACATTTGCAAGTCAAGTACTCATTTTTCTAGGTTCATTTAGATGATTCTCTAGTGAGTTATTTTGACCCAGTTGGAATAGAATAACTTGTTTGGCAATCAAGTGCACTGATAGGTTTTTTTTAATCCGTATTATTTCCAAATAGCTGAAAAAAATGAGTTATTCTAAATAGCTAATATCCCTCTTATTTAGAAAATAACTCATTCCTTCCTCCACTTTCACGGTTTCACCTCATTATGTTACAACATACCTCATTAAAAATAATTCATTGTTTTAATTCGTCCTAACAAGATAAATTCACCGTCACACTTTTTTCCAAATAACACACAAATACCATATATAGGAGCGGATTGAAGATAAAATAACTGATTAGTTAATGTAAGGGTAGCAATTAACAAGAGGAATTCATCGATCTCTATGTCAGGGAGACAAATCATATTCGGGAACCCATTCACAAAGCAGAGCACATAAATTTATTCGATTTTTTAAGCGGGGGATCTTTCTATGCAAAATTCATGACGTTTTGTGTTATTGATAATCCCGCAACATATGAGATCATCAACTTTAAACAACTGGCTGAGGGGAGAAAAAGTATGAAGCAAAAACCGTCCACTGCCTCTGCATTTTGTATGCATGGCGTCATCTCTGCAGATTACAAAATTGGCAATTCAAACCTAATCAAACCGAACCCAATCAGCTGAGCTCCACCTGTCCGATTCACGCCTTCTATTCTATGGATAAACAGACAGCATACGGATAAACAAAACAGATAAAGACCAAGTGCCCTGAAACCGGAAAAACAAAATAACAAAGTACATACACAGCCAATAAAAGGAAAAATAAATTATAATTACGCAGACCGGGTCACTAAAATTTATGGACACTGATAGATTGGTTACAAGTTTTGAGTTTTAGACGATTTTGTCCTCAACGGTTTTGGAATCACTCGTACAAACAAACAGTTAGTGTGATATTTTTTGTGCGAATAGTTCATATCATCGTATTGTATGTCAATATTAATAACAAAGAAGATACAACGTAAACCTTGTAGAGGGTCGGTTTGGTCCTTCTTTGGAATGCTATGTTATGGATTTGGTTAAAATGATTACAAGTGACACAAATTAAGAAGTTTGGGAAAACCAACTGGATTCGGCATGTGTGTTAGTGTGTAAGTTACTGAAGAATGTGTTTGTTTAGGTGCGACTTAACTGAAACATTTCTAGTGTTTTACCAATTTTGTTTGTTCGTAGGTCTGATGTTCTAACAAACTGCGAATTACAAGACAATCTTTTTTGTTTTGTTTGGTAAATGTTATTGGATATATACTCAATGTGTTGTGATCATGAGAAATCTCAACGAAACATCACTGCGGTTGGAGCTGACATCCATCTTGTAGCTATGGGTAAAACTGATACGATAAGGGTTTTAGGGGTCCAATTCCATGCATAATATTTTCAACTGCCGTTGAAAAATGTTGCATATTGCCTTTGAGGCACTAAAATTCAACGAATTCATCAGATTCTTTTTTTTTTTTTTACAAATCAATTCAATACGAGTGGCAAGGGAGTCATTAGGTTAGCTCACCTGGGTGGGAACATAATCAGGTTATAAGTTTGGGTTAAATTGAATATGAGTTAAAATGAGCAATTGAATATCTTCTTTTCATATGAGTTTGAAGGGTTTATTGAATTAAAAAAAAAGGACTTGCAATATGTGAGCCAACTTCCATGATACATGATTATAGCCGCATGTTCTTACATTATAACCGATTAACCATTAATTTTTGTAAATTGACACACTAATTTTGACAAAGTAGACCATAAGTCGGAAAAAATCCCAAAGTATACACGTTCTTAAAAAAATTTATCTAAATACATACGTTTTATGAAATATTTCAAATCTACACATGTTTGGGTTTCACTGTGGCCGTCAGACGCGGTGAACAGTATCACCGCAGTCGTCAAACGCGGTGAACGCTTCACCGCAATGATCAAACACGGTGAATGTAAACTGGCCATTCACCGCTGGTGTCCCATGCGGTGATGGCCTAATTACTTGATAAAATACACAATAAATACGCAGACCCATGATTGGTAGTAACAGCCAAAAACTTGTTTGATTTGCGCCATTAATCCTCCTCCCGTCAACCTAACGAGATGGTCCGAGAAGAGAGATAGAGAAAGGAATACCAATCTGACCCTCCAACCCATCCATCCATCTAGAGGTTCCCATTCCTTTCCCAAATAGCGGCACTTGAATCAACAACAGGGCGTGGGGGTGGTGGTAAGAAGAAGAAGCCGGGCAGCGCCTCCGCAACACTTGCATCGCGGAGTGTCTCGTCGGCGACGACGACAACGACAACGCAAAATCGGCCAGGGATCTGATACCAACCCATGGATTTTCCCCCCAAATCATCCGAGCTTGAATTTCATTTCTCCGGTCGTCGCATACACTATTTATTCTTTGGCGGCTTTTCTCAAGCTTTCGTCTCTCATTATTTCGCCTCCAATTAAGTAGCCCAGCTAATTAACTAATCAGGCCATCACCGCATCGGACACCAGCGGTGAATGGCCAGTTTATATTCACCGCGTTCGATCATTGGGTTGAAGCGTTTACCGCATTTGACGGCTGCGGTGATACTGTTCATCGCATCTGACGGCTGCAGTGAAGCCCAAACATGTGTAGATTAGGAATATTTCATAAAACGTGTGCATTTGGAGAATTTTTTTTAAGAACATGTGTACTTTGGTATTTTTTCCCCATACGTCAAACAAAGATAAATATGGTGATTGTAATGTTTAGTTAGTTCAAACTTTAGGTACAAAATTGTTAAACATGAATGTCTAGTGACTGATTTGCTATTGAGCCAAAGTTCATTTTGTAATTGACAAAATAAAAACTATACAAGAAATTACTAAAATAAACGAGAGAGCGCACAAAAATTCAATAACAACCCGAACCGCACAAAAGCCAGCAAGCAAACAAAGTTCATTACGCCCAACCCAACACAAACTGCGCCCGCACTCTCTCCCCTTCCTCCGCCGAAGAAAAGAAACAGAGAAAACAGGGGAGAAGAAATGACCCTCCGCAGCTGAAAATTTGGGCGGGAGGGCGGGGTTAGGCGCGGCAGTGGATGGATGTGCGGAGAATCGTGGTGGTGGTGGAAGATGTTGATGCAGCAAGAACCGCTCTCCGGTGGGCGCTCCACAATTTCATCCGCCATGGCGACATCTTGACTCTGCTCCACGTTTTCAGCCCCCGGCCGATGGGCGGCTCCAGGAGCTCGAGGAAGAAGAAGATGCGGTTTCTCCGCCTCGAAGGATTCCAGCTGGCCCTCTCTTTCAAGGACATCTGCAACTCCAACTTCTTCAATGTAAGAAGAAAAAAAAAAATGTTCCCCACTTTCTGCACTTATCCTGTTCGAATTAATGTCTGTGAGAGTAGGGGAATGTAAAAAAAAAATCATTTCAGGAAATTGGGTGTGAGGAATATTTTTCTCTCATGGTGTTTGATGATCTTGCAGACGAATGTGGAGATGATTGTGACTGAAGGGGACGATGAAGCTGGAAAGATCGGTGATGTCATTAGAGAGATTGGTGCCTCTATTCTTGTTGTTGGCCTCCATGATCGCAGCTTTCTTTACAGGTAAGATCTCCAGATTAATTCCCCGGCTTCCTGGCTCTCTAATTTTTGAAACCCAGATGGGAAAATCTTAATAATTTAGGCTGTGGTGGTCTCTTAGTTCTAATCTGGGGTTTGGTCAACGTGGCAGATGAGGTTTAGGTACTGTTTGAGGAAGTGGGTACGAAGTTTCCTGCTTCTTAATTCGTGGCTGATTCTTAATTAACATAGCTGGATGATTTTCGGCCATTTAATTGTAGATTTCGATGAAATTTTTAACAGACGGATTAGAAGCAGAGAAACAACATTGTAATGACTATTGGATCGTTTCAATAGTTCGGATTCGAAACAATGGGAATTCAAAGGTGGCGGCTTGTTGATGCAATTCTCAATTGGTCGTTCACGTGTGACCCATGCGAGGTGAAATTGCGTAGTCCTTGCTTTAATGCGAGACAGAGAGTGGCAGTGACCCGCAGTACAGCCATGGCTGCCGCCGCTTTCATTCCATGTGTAGTTAGTTAGTTGCTGTATTGGTATTCATGATACCATTTCAGTTTCCAAATTAATTATACATCAACAGTTAATTACAGATTAATGATTGAGGTGATGTGGAAACAAGTGTAGATACCATCAACAGTTAATTCGCAGCATAGGCACGCTATTGACTGTGACTGACACGAGGACTTGTTTGTCCCTCTCATGTTCTCTTGGTTTTGCTTCCCCTTGCTTATTCCAGTTTTCGTTGGTTTGTGGTGAATTAGGTTGGCCATGACCCACACCGATCTAGCCAACCACTTCAATTGCAGGGTACTCGCCATTAAAGCCCCAACTGTTCCTCCACTGCTAGCAACAAAGAAACCCAGGTCCGTTGGCAGCCGGGCCAGTAGTTCAGCCACGCCATCTCCATTGTCATCATCAGATGCTTCAGCTTACCACCATAGCCTCGACTTCTCCCAGATCGAGATCGGCAGGCTAGAGTACGTGATTAATCGGATTTCGTTACTATATAATTTTATGAAATGGTGGTTACTGTGTTGTAAATGTATCCGTTTTGTGGCGGAATGCAGGGTTCCTGAAACTCCAACGCCGAAAGTTCCTTATCAAATCTGCCCCGACCCGTACTCAATACTGTGGAGATGGAGGAGGAGGAAATCCAGGAGGAAAAACTACTAGTTTGTGATCTGATCATTCATTCGGTCGATCTTTGCTTCACCATGATGTCTTTATTGTCTTTAACTTTTGATTTATACATATAGATGGGCAGATAGGGCATTTCTTTTGCTGAGTCTGATA